TTCCGTGTTCGGCCGAACGTCCGAACGCGTCGAGAGGGGGTCCATAACATTCGGGCGTTCGGCCCGTCCCGAACGCCGACAACCCTGTATATATATATATATATATCGTCACAAACAGAACTGCCTGGTAAACCGTAGGCAGAGAGAGAAAAGGACAACAAACGAGGGGCTGTGACAAACTGTTTCGTCGGAGTTTCACCGACTCATCAGGAGGCTGAACCCTCAACAGTCTCGAGAATCCCCTCACTGATTACACTGTAAATGATAATCTACCTTAACCAAAATCAAAGTAGACTATCACTCACCCACACCAGATGGAAAACTCTACAGACTGTCGGTTCATATTTGACGATATATATATAACAAACGACAGGCTGTGACAAATTGTTCCGTCGGAGTTTCACATATATATATATATATATATACCTGGGGCCCGACAACGATAAACACAATTGAAAAATGAAAATAAAAAAATAAAGAACTATATTTGTTTATTTTTTTCTAGCATTGGTGCAGAATTCCGGTGTCAACATGAGGCAAAAGTTGTTCGAATTTTTTTTGTTTCATAATGTCATTTTTTTTGTAATATATGTTTTTTTTTTTTTTTTATTTCTCGACATTTTTCCGCTGTCAACATGAGGCAAAATTTTGCGTTGGAGAAACTGCGACGACACCGTTTCGCACACCCCCTCGTATATGACAGTGTAATCGCTAAGGGGATTCTACAGACTGTTCACTGTTCAGCTTCCTGATGAGTCGGTGAAACTCTGAGGAAACAGTTTGTCACAGCCCCTCGTTTGTTGTGCTCTTCTTCTCTCTTTCTGCGTACGGTTTACCGGACACTTCTGTTTGTGACGATATATATATATATCATCACAAACAGAACTGCCCGGTAAAACTGTAGGCAGAGACAGAGAAGAGGACAACAAACGAGGGGCTGTGACAAACTGTTTCGTCGGAGTTTCACCGACTCATCAGGAGGCTGAACCCTATATATATATATATATAAAAAATTAGGGTTGAGCCTCCTGATCAGTCGGGGGCATAGTCTGACGATACAGTTTGTCAGAACCCTCGTTTGTTGTGCTCTTCTCTCTCCGTCCCTACTTTTTACCGGGCAGTCGGGGGAAAAAGTTGTTCTTTTTTTTTTCTGTGTAACCTGGTTTTTCCCGATTTTATGGTTATCCTGTTTTTTTTTTTTTT